TCAACAATTTAACAAACATTACATTTTGATGAGTGTCAACACTAAAATCAAATGCATCAAATATGTTGGTAAATGTTTCATTATTATGTTCAAAAGAAACTCTAAATAGATGAGTCTATTGAAAACGTTTTGTTGCAAATATGCATTAAACTGCAAATGTGAATGCAGTTGTTACTTTTATTTTTTTAAAAAAAGTAGATTTTTTTAAATTTTTAAAATAAGCTTTTTTTATCAGAGCTTATTTTAAGCTCTTATACTTAAAATAAACAAATTTTGAAAGTATAGTGTGATCTCACATTGTAAAGTCTTTATTCAATGGGGAAAATATGAGATCTATTATGGAAAATTAACTTTTTTCACATTTTTGTTCTTCCATTTGGGTCTCAACTGCCTCTAAAATCAGCCCAATGCTTAAAAAACACACATCTGTTTTATGGCTATAAATTAATGTGTTTTTGGTGTCTGGAAAATCAGGAGGTTTCAAATTGGACCTGTCCAATTTGACTAATTTTTCAGTCAAACTGGGCACTGCGCTGTCACCTAGCAACATCGTCTGAGCCTAGCCCATCACCTAGCAACCAAAGCTGAGGTCCAGCAATGTTGGTCAGCTGGTTTTACCACTTTATGTGCTGTACAATGGCTGCTGGAAAAGTTACAAATTTTGTTGTAACTTGATGGAAGACCAAAAAGACAGATACAGACCAGGAGGAAAACAAAGCCTCTGAACAATGAGGTAACACTGGTTTGTTTGGGGCTGAACAAAAAGAGAGGACATACTTTAAAAAACAGCTCTGAATTTCAAAATTGGTGAAATAATATAATTAATGTATGAGACACGTTTATGTCTTGATTAACCATAACAGTTCTGACATCTTGAAGATTTAGGACAAAAAGGTTGTTGTTGGCATCTGTAAAAGTCCAGCAAGAGAAACATGTTAAATGTTCGATCCAGTGTGTTAGAAACTGTCATGACACAAACATAATCATACATTGAGGCAGGGCTAAGAATGACCGGAGAATAAATGGTTTGAGACCTCTGCTCACTGAATTAAAGACAAAATAAATAACTCATCAAATGGATGAAAATTATTTTTTATGAAAATGTTTTCTTGTAAGGTCTGAGTTTAGCTCTGATTTTCTGCGCACAGTCCAACTTTATGTGCAGAAAACCAGATAAAACAAATAAAACAAAATGCTAAGTTCTAAAAGTAAAGCAGAGGATAAGTGTGTTTAAAAGTGTGTGTTTGTTTCTTTAGAACTGGACCGGGCCCAGCGACTGGAGGAGCGGGAACGGGTTCTTCGAGAGATCTGGATGAATGGACAACCAGACATCAGCACAGTGACTCAAAGTCTCAACAGATATTACTGATGGAAGACCAAAACGACAGATACAGACCTGGAGGAAAACAAAGTCAGATGGATGACTGGTGCAGAAAATGAACATGAAACAGTTTCCACTGCAGCCTTGAGCCTCTGATGTGAAACTGGTTTGTTTGGGGCTGAACAAGAAGAGAGGACAGAAACTGATTTTTCAATGACAGTTTAGCAACAAACAATTGTCTGTAGCTGATATTTGATGGATTCTGGGCTATGTGACTGCTGCCATTAATTTACTGGGATGTTTTTTCTTTTCTGTTTCTACCAGGCACTTCTCAGTAGAACATGAAAAGGAGCAGAAGGGAATAATAATGTAGCGTCCACAGCTTGATTTTGTAGAATAATGTTGCACTTTTCTCAGCTGACCATTTATTGTTTGTAAACCTGCAACAATCAAAGGATTGCAACTTGATACTTTTATATTGAAGAGCAACTTCCTCTTCCAAGACGATCATAGAAACTCTATGAAAACATGGTGGTATAAATACTGGTGCTTTTACTATTGCACTTCAATTTTATCTAGTTGCACATTGAATGACATCAGACACATGAAGCACTGAGGATTATCAGCTCTGTTGCATCACTTTATGACAATCCTCAATCTGAGTTATTACAAAGAACGACTAACTTAATTTTAATATTTTATGAAATTTGTTTTGACATACTGATTAAACTGCTGTATAAAAGACAAAGTTGTGGCTTTGCAGTTTTTAAAAAACACAAAGTGGACCCGTTATGCAAAATTCACATTTTTCACATTATTGCACTTCCATTTGTTTCTCTACTGCTTCTAAAAACAGCACAAACACTTAAAAATAAATGCATAAATTGAATTTGTGTGGCTTATAGAATATCAGTCAATTGAATCAGTTTCAGAGTATGCAGACAATTCTTGTTTTTAGAAAATAAAATGAAAATCTCTGATGCATTATTAATCAACCTTGAAAAAAAGGAAGAAAAAAATATAAATTGAATATTTTAAACCCTAAAATTTATATAAATTCATGCAGGTGATAGGATAAGGATATTTTGGACCAGAACAACCAAGAAGAAAAATTGCAAAAGTGTATAAAATACGCCACCTGGTGTCAAAAAAGTGCAACTGCATGTTTTCCACCTCTTTCCCCCCATTCTTTCTTTTTTAAAAACATAATTACTGTTAATTCAGGTCAAATTTCAAATAAAAATATAAAGAAAACAATCTAGGCTAACTAGCATCACATAAACAAACAAACAACAAAATTTACATTCACTCCAAAAAACTGGGACAGTAAACCAATCCCATTTGGGAATGTCAAAAAATGGTTAAAACTAGACAGGAAAAAACTTTGTAGACACAAAGTGGATTCAGGTTTTTTGCTACATCCATCCATCCATCCATTTTCTGAACACCCTTGTCCCTCAGTGGGGTCGGGAGGGGTGCTGGTGCCTATCTCCAGCTAACGTTCCGGGCGAGAGGCGGGGTACACCCTGGAGAGGTCGCCAGTCTGTCGCAGTTTTTTGCTACACTAACTGTTAATAACAAGGTGATCTAGAAGAAGCTAACTGAGGACATCTAGCGGTGAAGAGGTGAAACAGCACACAAAATGACAGGACTTTTGTCATTGCCTTCTTTTCAGTTAGTTTTATTTCTCTTACCCACCTTTTATCCTACTTATGGTTAAACAATAATCGATGTCATCTATGTGCTCCAAAAGGAAGCATGTTTAGCTTGAACCAAAATGGATGCCGTTGCAAGTGAAAGATGATATCAGTGTTGTGGTCAAGACCACCTAACCCAAGACCAACACCAGAGCGTATCGAGACCAAGACCAAGACTTTTAGGGCCCGAAACCAAGTCAAGACCAAGACCGGGGGAAGTCGAGACCGAGTCAAGACCAAGACCAGCGCCCCGCGGTACATGACACAATAAAATGTAAAATATGATCAAAATTGCTTCTCAAATTGATCTGAAAGATCCATATTCCCATAAAAACTCTTAGATATTAAATACTTAATACATTTTACCAATATTAAATATTCCATCTCTGTGCTGTAGCACAGTGGTGGCATCATGCCATCCCTAAAAAGATAACGCCCTGGGCGTTTGCCCATATTGCTCTTGTCAGAAACCACCACTGTCTGCACCATTAAACATAGCAATTGAGGCAATGCCCTGACGGTAAATAACGCTCAACCATGAACACTGACCAAGGAGCAACAAGCAAGAAGTAACCAAGGCGCTCATCGTGACTGTTTTCACTCTCTATCCCAGTACATGAAGCCAGGTAGTCTGACACCATGGCAGACATTACAGCTGCCACTTTGAACGAAAACAATCAAAGAGCAATGTGCATGCTCTTTGGTTCTTGTGTTTTAGTTATTTGTTAATTTAAAAAATATCAATGTACATAATTAAATAATGATAGCTACTGCAGTGTATGCAGATTATTACAAGAACAAAGAGCGGTGTTCTGCCAGGTCAGCATAGGCTGTCAGATCGTCATACGCTTAGCACGAAGTCACGGCTATATCTATCAGACACATCATTACCATAAGATTTCATTTAATCAGCAACATAGAATCATGACGTAGATCACCATACACTTTGTTATTAACAGTTGTATGGCATCCTGACTTAGCGGTTAAGTAGGTTAATGGGTTTTATACTGACGTGTTTTGTAGCTGACTCCAGCTGCAACCAGACCTGCTTTAAATACACTTTGAAACCACGACAACGCATGTATATCTATATAATTATCATTGAAAACAATTTAATGACTTATTTTCGTCATAACTTGTTCCGTATGGTGAACTGACAACTCCTCTGACGGTTGGACTTCTTAATGCACATGCACAGGTATGGTACTCGCTGCATGTATGCTATCCTGACAGCGTATGGCTACCTGATAGATTGCATTGTCTTCTATTGGATTAAACTGCAATTCTGTGACGTCAACACGCATTGCTGTTTTCTTCTGAGTGACTACACGCGAGAGGACCCGGGATCATAAAGGAAGAGAGAGAGCCAAACTTTTTCCAAAATTAACTAATTCATAAAAATCTTCCTTAACACTATGAAAAGAAGTGAATACACAATATAATCAATAATAAACAGGACATGGCGAAACCTATTGAACAAAACAATAAGAAGAAGGTCAAAGTAAAGACAAAAGAGATGGTATTTTGTCCTTCCTGTTTTTCCTGTGACACTCCTTTCAGTTCTTGCTCCGTTTAGTTTTTGTTGAGTTGTGTTTGTTGAAACAAAAATTCATTTAGTCATTTTTAAATGACTAAATGAATTTAGCCATTTTTTATGGTTTTTGCCTTCTGCTCTCCCTCAGTGGTTTCCGTTAGTAAGTGGAACAACCTGTTTTCATCCCAACATTCATCCTTTCCAGTTTTAAGGCTGCTTTTTTCATGTTTTTCTGACTCTTCTTTTCTAACCATTTGTCTTTTGCTAGTTTCTCAGCTACATGTCCTGTGGCCATCCCTCTATCATCCTGCTGTTTACGTTGCCCTCCTTAAAAACTGGAAAGGATTAATGTTGGGATGAAAACAGGTTGTTCCACTCTTTAATGGAAACCATTGAGGGAGAGCAGAAGGCAAAAATGACTAAAATTAATTTAGTCATTTGCAAATGACTAAATTAATTTTAGTCATTTGCAAATGTCCCAGGAAAAACAGGAAGGACAAAACACTCTTATCTTTCCTTGTGCCAGATCATGGTCAGACACATACAACACTCCTCCCTCTTTTTCTTCCTTAAAACCAAAGGATTCACTTTCCATTTGTTAGACTGTAACTGCCTAGCAGATTTGCTCTGTCAAGAGGTTCAAATTCAGCTACACATAATCTGGTTTATATTTACCGAGTGTAATTCTACACTGTACTGCTTTCCATCAGATTTCAAGTTTGCAGAGACCAACTAAGTGAGTACTTGCTTTCTTAACAATTTTGTTCATTTTATTTATGAAAAAGTAGAAATTAAATGAAATCCTAATATTTTTGACAAAGACCATTTAAATCTGTTACTTATTTTCAAGTTAGATTGCTTCATGTCATACATATTGCTTGTCCATGTTGATTTTGTTGTTGTATATTGTTAAACAATTTAAGAACTTGTGTGAACATTTATCTCTGATGCTGCTATACATGAATTTCCTCTTTGTGGCATAGTAAAGGCTGTTTATACTCTATTTTATTTCTATCCTTAAAAACGGAGTGATTTCGGTGACTTGTTTTCTAATTTAGGGTTTAATATAGATTAGCTAGTCCGAACACAGCTGAAGCTTGACCCTACTGCTACAACCGCAGGATAAAATAACATTTAGAACAATATCGCCATGATAAGCAAGCTCTATTAGTTTGCCATTTGTCACTATATGTGGAGAGATAAGGAACAGTAGTTGACTTAGAAACTACCGTTTTCTGAATAATTATTAAACTATCACATGCTGTACATGACTCAGAGTGCAAAATAATAAACTCTTTCCTGTTGTACTCTTTAGACTCACTCAAACACAAATTAACCTTGCTGATAAACAGTTTCTTTCATTGAAATTTATCCAACACTATTCACTATTTTGTGTTAATTGCTAATGTGACCATAAACACAAAAAGGAACAAAACCTTATTATGACTGAATTTACATTCAGTAGCTTGTGTCATGCTTGTAATATCATGTTGAACACTCCCTCCTTCATTAAACAAACATTTACTCCTTCTTTTCAACGAGGAGTGCAAAGCCTTTACTCCTCCCAGATCAACTGTCAGGCCGACAGAGATACCAATCTAAGAACAAAATCCAGAATCCACAAAAACAGAAGAATAAATAGAGAAACTAAGCACAAAGAAGTGAACTCATTTGACAACAACCTATGAAAAGAAGTGAATACAGAATATAATCAATAATAAACAGGACATGGCGAAACCTATTGAACAAAACAATAAGGAGAAGGTCAAAGTAAAGACAAAAGAGATGGTATTTTGTCCTTCCTGTTTTTCCTGTGACACTCCTTTCAGTTCTTGCTCCGTTTAGTTTTTGTTGAGTTGTGTTTGTTGAAACAAAAATTCATTTAGTCATTTTTAAATGACTAAATGAATTTAGCCATTTTTTATGGTTTTTGCCTTCTGCTCTCCCTCAGTGGTTTCCGTTAGTAAGTGGAACAATCTGTTTTCATCCCAACATTCATCCTTTCCAGTTTTAAGGCTGCTTTTTTCATGTTTTTCTGACTCTTCTTTTCTAACCATTTGTCTTTTGCTAGTTTCTCAGCTACATGTCCTGTGGCCATCCCTCTATCATCCTGCTGTTTACATTGCCCTCCTTAAAAACTGGAAAGGATTAATGTTGGGATGAAAACAGGTTGTTCCACTCTTTAATGGAAACCATTGAGGGAGAGCAGAAGGCAAAAATGACTAAAATTAATTTAGTCATTTGCAAATGACTAAATTAATTTTAGTCATTTGCAAATGTCCCAGGAAAAACAGGAAGGACAAAACACTCTTTTGTCTTTCCTTGTGCCAGATCATGGTCAGACACATACAACACTCCTCCCTCTTTTTCTTCCTTAAAACCAAAGGATTCACTTTCCATTTGTTAGACTGTAACTGCCTAGCAGATTTGCTCTGTCAAGAGGTTCAAATTCAGCTACACATAATCTGGTTTATATTTACCAAGTGTAATTCTACACTGTGCAGCTTTCCATCAGATTTCAAGTTTGCAGAGACCAACTAAGTGAGTACTTGCTTTCTTAACAATTTTGTTCATTTTATTTATGAAAAAGTAGAAATTAAATGAATCTGTTTTCATCCCAACATTCATC